TCTTTCTTTAAGTCCCAACTAAAATCTCATCTTTTACTGGAAGCCTTTCCCAGACCTTAATTCTAATGCCTTCTTTCTCTTAATTTATCCTATTTAGCCTATATATATCTTATTTTGAACATATTTGTTTTCATATTGTCTCTTTCATTAGGTTATAAGCCCCTTGAGAGTAGGGATTGTCTTTTGCCTCTTTTTTTAATCTGTAGTTCTTAGCATAGTGCCTGACACGGAGTAGGCCCTTTAAAAACATTTGTTCATTGATTGATTTACAGGTGATAAAACTGAAAAACAGAGATGTGAAGTAACTTACTGAAAGTCACAAAACTAGTCAGTAACAGATTTAGTATTAAAATTCACACAGATACCGCCTGTGGCTTTACATAATGTGACTAATATAAATTAATCTAAGTTTCATAGCATGGTATGGTAGAAAGAGACCTACCTTAGAAGTAAGAACACCTGTATTTGTGGTAGACATACTCACTAGCTGTGTGGTAAGGGGCAGGCTATTTTATCTCTTTGAGAGTTGTTTCCTCATCTGTAAAATGATGATAATAAAATTTATACTACCCACTGCCTCCTAAGATTTTTATGAGGAAAGTGCTTTGTAAACCATAAAGTGCTATAAAAATGTGAGATACTGTTGTTATTTTAAAAACAACAACTATTTTCAAGGCTACCATAAAGTAATTTTCCTTTGATGCTTTTTTTTTTTAACTTTTAGGTCAGTGTCAGTGGAACTATAGATTGCAACCAAAGCTAAAAGCAGACTATGCAATAACCTCTTAATCATTCTGTACAGTTGTCCTTAAAAACAGTTATTATTTTACTGAAAAAGTATCCAAATCCTGATCATTCAAGTTTTCTAGGTGACAGAATGCTGAGCAAACCAGCTTTTACCCTATGACAAAGTTGTCTGAGGACACAGAAACTAATGCCATCAGAAAGAAGGCTGAATGCCTCTTGAAAACAGTAATACAGATTATAAAGGAACAAAGTGGAGAATGGAATGAAATACACAAGGTTCTCTGAACACCTCAGGCATATTTACCACCTCCCTTAATCCTCTACTTATCTATGCAAACTTTGCCACAAAGTCCTGTTGAGTTTTGATATCGAATTAACTCCTGCTGGTCTTTGGTAAGCAGAGGACTCATTGATGTTTGGGCAGGGTATATATTTATTTCCTCAATAACTCCACAATCTATCAGAAACAGAAAAATTGTAACTATAAAATTATCAACTATTTCCAGTAAAGATCCTACTGACTTCTGCAAGGAGCCTTTCCCAGTACCTCCCCCAATAGTGACTTACCTCTGCAATTACCTTTCATTTACACTGTGTGTTTATATGTGTGTGTATATTTATATCATATATGTATTTAATTATGTACATACTGTCTCCCCAGTTGGAATGCATATTCCTTAAGGTCAGGGACCATGTTTTTGCCTTTCTTTGTATCTTCTGTAACCCTTTGTCTACCTTCTGCAAAATTTTGTATCACTGTAACCCAGTGTCTGGCAGAGTAAGTACTTAATAAATCCCTGTTGACTCACTAGTGTAACACAGGAGAAGGTATATGACTCTTTGAATTCTCTTCCTCAAGAAGTAGCACCCAAACCATCTTATTGGTAGAGAAGAAGATATTTTTCAAACTTGTGTCCAATAGATTTTCATAGATATCACTGGGCTGGGTAGGTAGATAAGTCACTTCAGCACCTGAATTTTTTTTTTTATTTCACCAGAGTACCAATGATGATCATAATTCCTCTACACATTAATAGACTATGTCATAAGTTCCTGAAGTGTGTCATAAGTCATAAGGTTGTGAAAAGATCTATCCCCCAGGGCCTAACCACTAGGGTTTATTGAGTAGGGGGATGGCATGATTAGACCTGAACTTTAGGGAAATGACTTTGGCGGCTGAATGGAGGATGAACCAGAGTGGGGATAGTCTTGAAGCAGGCAGACCCACCAGCAGGCTGTTGCAATAATGGAGTTTGAGGTGATGAAAGTCTGTGGTGGCATTGCCAGAAGGAGGCATATTCAAAAGATGTTGGAAAGGTAAAATCCACAGCCTTGGCAACAGATTGAATATGGTGGGTGGTGGGGAGGAAGAGGGTGAGAAATAGTGAAGGGCCAAGGATGATTCCTAGGTTGTGAGTCTGAGGGATTGAGAGGATTGTGCTGCCCTTGATGGTCATAGGGAAGGTAGGAGGGAGGGGATGGTTTTTGGGAAAGATAAAAATTCAGTTCTTGACATGTTGAGTTTAAGATGTCTTCTGGACATTGAGTTTGAGATGTCTGAAAGACAGTTGGAGATGTGAGATTGGAGATCAGCAGAGAATTTAGGGCAGGATAGGTAGATTTGAGAATCATCAGGATAGAGATAACAATTAAATTCATGGGAGTCACTAAGTAAAGTACCATGGAGGGGAAAAAGAGTCCATGATAGAACCCTTAGGGACACCTGTGGTTGGAGGGTATGATATGGATGAGGGATCTAAATAAAGGGGTTGGACTAGAACTAGATACTCTGGAAGGTCCCTTCCTTCAGGGTCTTTTGACTTTTGATTGCCAGAAACATGTCACCCCTGCACAGACCCATGCTTGAGAAGGACTCAAAAGCTGTCCTGTATCATGCAGTAGTCCCTGACTGTGATATGTAATCATCATTGCCTAAACTAAACTGTAAGGTGTTCTCTGTACTCAGTACTTCAGGCAACTTCCACAAAGGCTCAACTCACTGGACATCCTCAGGGATTCTTCTTTTTCTTCTTCTTTGTCTTCGTCTTCATTTTCTTCTTCTTCTCTCCGTCTTTATCTTCTTCATCTTCATCTTCTTTTCTCTTCTTCCTCTTCATTATCATCTTCGTCATTATTATGATGCACTTTAAAGTTTTTATAGTGTATATAATGTGGGTGTGGCACCTCAACCCACTTTCTCTTCTCTCTTCCTTTTCTGGAGTGGTTTTATTACCCAATCTGCACTTATCCTGACAGGTTGATGTTCCCAGAGCAGGAAGCCATGATTCTACAGCTCACTTTCAGGGTAGTCCTTGTGGAGTAAATGCATTCTTTCTGCTTTACATGCTATTCCTGATCCCTACACCAATGTGCTTCTCATTGAAAACTTAACCAGATGAGCTACATCTACTCTTAATCAGAAATATTTACTCAACTGAAGGTAAAGAAAGAATAATTATAACACTTTACCTGTAAACCAGGACACACTCTCCTTATGTACACAGTGTCCTCAGAGGAAAGAGTGGGCACAAATTTACGGAGCCACAATGGGAAGCACATGCTTAGGGAATCCTTTTGCCTGGGGCAACTCACAACTCTGGACTATAGTCCTTGAATTATTCTATCTCCCTTAGGGTCCCCATGTGCAACAGTTCAGTGAGGGCTGGGACCACTCCTCTTCTGGGTCTCTCTTTTCTCCTGTTGGGAAAGGCTGATTCCCAGCTGGTACTTCTCTTTGGAGTTGCTAAGGAAGCCTTATGCTCTTTCATCAAAAGAGAAGTCTTAAACCTGGGATCTGTAAAGCTTACCCAAGTCTCTTCCTTTGCCTGGGCTTTGAAGGTTTTTTTATCTCTCAGTTTGAGCTCTCCTCTCTGTTTCCAGACCTGACCTATCTCATCCTCCCTCTGAAGAGTCTGTCTGTCTTTCTCTGTCTCTGTGTCTCTCTCTCTGATATATGTGTGTATACAGTCTCTCTCTCTCTATATCAGTCTCTATATCCTCTGTGATTATATATTATACATACATGCATACATATATATGCACACACATATATGCTTTAATTCATTTAGAAAGTTAGTCTTAACCAGCTCTACTGCTTTGAAGTAGTATCTCTTATGTGAAATAACTCAACTTAATCTCATGAAGAAAAGCCCAAATTCATATTTCTGCCAGCCACATAACTCTTAGGCAATATACTTTTGTCCCATAGTCATGAAATAATTCTAGAAATCAGCTTTCATCCTTAAAATTCTCATATCAGTCATATGAAAATTAGATCCTGGGAAATGGGATACATTGGTCATCTGAGTATTTTTTAATTTGTTGGCTGTTTTTTTCAGTGCTTTTCTAACAGCTGACCTTGATTTTGCCCCATTTCTTTAGGAAACCACCCATATCTGCAAGGAATACCCCATTATACACATTAAGTTATAACTAACACCCCGCCCCCCCCCAATTTTGTATATGAAGGAATTGAGATTAAGAGAGAAGTCTTGGTTCTTCCTGTGTTTACTCTCCTAGAGCAGCCTCAGGGTGGAAGAGGCTCTAGTTTGGTCTTCAAGGCTTTTTTTTCTATAGGGCCTGCTTGATAGCCCCATAGCTCACATACTTGGTTTCCTGACTTTTATAAAGCCTTATGAGTCTAGCATTCTATAGTTCTGTATTTAACCCCATCATTATTAGTACTGCTTACATTTGTAAATACTTGTCCCACTTCCTCACATACTTTTTTCTTTCTCATCCAGAAGCAGATGTAACATGAAAAGGCAAGCACAAATATAATCCTATTCCACATTCTCCCACCTTGAAGGACCTAATCTCACTTATGGTAATCTGAACTCATTTCCAGGCATGGCAGACTTTCCATATCCTTTAAGCAGATGCTCCCAGTTATTGTAAATGGCAAACAAAAACTGGAGTAGATGTGAGAAGAGCATGCAATTAATTTCTATACCTAATTCCTTTTTGTTCACTAAAACATCATGGTTCCTTTGTATGACCTTGATAAAATAGCTACTGATTACAAGTTTAAAATGGATCAGCTCACCTGCTTCTTTCCAAGTGAGTTCTTCATTGCAAGGCCCCCTTGTTTCTGGGAGGCTTAGCGAGGGAGGGGAGAACCTGGGAGACATTTGGCTTCTCTTTATTTTTTTCTCTTCCCATACCTCAATAGATATACATATGGATGCATTGTAACACATTTATATCCCCCTTTCTGAAGTTTCCATGCTAAATATTCTATTACCTTTTCCTAGGGTCTGCATCCAAATACCTTTACAAGAATGATTTGGAGAGAGAAATGGCAAATAAGGTAACTGTGTCATGCACAGCATGAAATAGCCAATGAAATGCTCTTGCTGTTATTTCTTTGATTCCAACCCCCACCCCACAATATACACAAAAAGCAAAAGCAATGAGAAGCAAACCTTGTTCAGGCAAGAATAAGTCACTAGACGATGGCATAGGTACATGGAAATGGAGAATAGGAAAGATGAATAGATTAAGTTTACAATTATGCTCTAGTCTGAATTCTTGCTTCTTTCTTTTCTTAAAAAATTACGTATTTCTCCAAATTATTTCCCCTAATGGAGTCATAAAAATTATAGACAGAATATATTCCTGAGTCCTAAAACATTTGCTGATAATTATATATTATAATTATATATAATATGTATTATGACACATATAATTACATAATTTTTGTGTGTGGTCTCCCCCAATTACAGTGAGAATTCCTTGGTAGCAGGGACTTTTTTTTTTCTTTCTTGACAGTATATCCTCAGTTTTTAAGCATAGCACTTGGTACATAGAAGGTGCTTAATCATGATTTTCATATATTTATATATACATATGAATCAAATGGTCACAGCTGTCACTAGGAATTTTTGTACAAGGGGCAAGTGGAAAGAACTGGACACAAATTTGAGGGAGGGGAAGGAGAAAACAGAGACCCCAGGGGCCTGTGGGGCTGGATATCAGAAATAGGTAGGGCAAAGTGGAGGCTGAATTCATTCACCTGCTATCTATCCTATAGCTTCTTATCTTAATCAATTAGCCTTGCGATTTACTACTAAGCTCTATTATTTAATTTTGTTTTCTGGAGAGCTGTAGTTGTTTGCAGTATCTTCTAAAAAGCCCATAGCTCTGTAAATGGAGGTATGAATCTCCCATGTTTTGCTAAAAATCTTGGTGGACAATATCCTTTCCTGTGTATTTTCTTTTCCCTAGGCCATCTATGATAGTGTAAAAATATGATTTACATGATGAAAATATAACTGTGAGTAAATGATAGGACTAAAGCATCCCACAAATAATTCTTGAGGGCTTACTCTGCTCAGGGTCCTATAGGGGATATAGAGATAATGAATTAGTTGGGAGACCTTTGTCCACAAGGGGCTTGTAGGAGAGAGAACTAAAAAACATGGAAAATATGACAAATGGCCCAAAAGAATTTAATGTTTGGAAACTTTATACATCTGAAGATTAATGTGAGGGTCAGATTTCTTAAAGGCATTATAGGCCTAAGTATTTGCTTGTTGATTATATTTTGTGCCTAGGTTTAGTGAATAATATTCTTCTAGCTACAGATACTCTTTTTAATTCTGTATTTAACTATTTAATAAATGTTGACTTCCCTCCACCTGCTCAGTGCTCTATAGACTGTACATAAAAAAATGGAACCTACCTATGGGGAGTCTTTTGCTTGAAGATTTCATTAACAGCCATTCACATATACGTAAGGACGTTTCAGGCAGAAAACCAGCACAAGTATAAAATCAAGAGTTATTGAATTCCAGAGCTGAAAGAGAATTTAGAGATAATCTAGCTCAATCCTCTCATTTTACAGATGAGGAAGCTAAAGGCTAGAGAGAACAGTGGATAGGATGCCAGGCCTGGAGTCAGGAATACTCATCTTCCTGTGTTTAAATCAGACACTTAGTTGCTGTGTGACCCTGGGCAAGTCATTTAATCCTGTCTGTCTCAGTTTCTCATCTGTAAAATGAGATAGAGAAGAAAATGGCAAATCCCTCCAGTATCTTTGCCAAGAAAACCCCAAATAGGGGGCAGCTAGGTGGTGCAGTGGATAGAGCACCGGCCCTGAAGTCAGGAGGACCTGAGTTCAAATTTAACCTCAGACCAAACGCTTGACACTTACTAGCTGTGTGACCCTGGGCCAGTCACTTAACCCCAATTGCCTTAAAAAAAAAACCCAAATGGGGGTCACAAAGAGTCAGACGACTGAAAAGACTGAACAATAACAAAGAGAAGACAAAGAGTGTGTATGTGTGTACATACACATATGTAATTTACCCTTTTATCTGCTTAGTTTTAACTTCAAAATATGTGTTGTGTTGTTTGCTTGGTATTGAATAGAGTGCTAGATTTGGAGTCAGCAAGACTTATTCTTGCCTGAACAAGGTTTGCTTCTCATTGCTTTTGCTTTTTGTGTATATTGTGGGGTGGGGGTCAGAATCAAAGAATGTGAATCTTGCCTCTGATAATAGCTGGGTAACCCTGGGCATGTCTTTAGTTAGCCTCAATTTCTTCTGTAAAATGGGGGTTATACTAATTATGCTACTTATTTCATAGTGCCCTGAGGCTTAGAAAAGAAAGTTTTTGCAAATGCTTCACCATGCTATCTGCATGTCATTTATTATTATCATTAGATTGTAAGTTCTTGGAGGGCAAAGGTTGTCTTTTTCCTCTTTTTGTATCCCTAGTGTGTGGCATATGTTTATAGATTGATTGGTTGATTAATTGATTATCATTAAATTAGTTGAAAAGTAAATTTAAAACAATACAATTTTAAAAAAATAGTCATGACCAACTCCTTAAAATGGCCAGTATTTAAACTAAAATTCACAACTGATATATTTTAAATATTATTATTTTCCATCCTGTTGATTTCTGAACAGTAGGAGAGTTTGAACATTTAAATTTCAGGTATTTTTGTCAAATTAAAAAAACCCAATCTAATTGTGTTTTCCATTTTCCCTTCTCCTTGAATAACTATTCTTTCATTCATAAAGAATATGACTTTTAATCCACAAATCATCCCACCAGTTATTCTCAGGTTAGACATACACAGTATAAGGTTCAAAGTCCTGAGCTACTTTGTAGTTATTGTAGGTGGGATCTATTGACTGATGAAGTCGCAGTTCTGAGTCACTGCTCGTACCACAAACGGGTAACTAGGCTCAATGGGAAAACAGGAGAAAGGGATAGTTCTTGTTGGACATGTGAAGACTCCTCTGAGCTTCTTTTCTTGCAAATGTCTGAAGACCTGTTCCTTTCTCTACTCAGGTTAGGTAAAGTAGCTTCATTTTATTTTATTTTTTGAGGCAATCGGTGTTAAGTGACTTGACCATGGTCACTTAGCTAGTAAGTGTCTGAGGCCAGATATGAACTCAGGTCCTCCTGATTCCAGGCCCTGTGCTCTATCCACTGTGCCACCTCGCTGAAGTGGCTTTGTTTTAAAGACATGGAATCTTTCCTTAACTTGGAACATTTGGTCACATGTTAACTCTGCTTTCCTTCCAGAAGAGTAAAGGAGCCTCAGCCCTCTCTGTGTGGCAGCTTCTGCCAGATGAAATATGGGTCTGCATCTTTTCCCTTCTGTCTCATAAGGATCTCTCTCGTATTGCACAAGTTTGCCGTCATTTCTGCCAGCTTGTGAGTGATGACAGCTTTTGTAAGTAGAATGAAACACACCCAATACACACATGTGCATACATATCCCATATTTTTTATTTTAAACAAATATTGCATTCTATGGTATATTGGCAAGAACACTGAATTTAGATCAAAGGATGCAAATTGGAAACCTGACTCTGCATTCTGTGCCTTGGAAAGGTGATTTAATTTTTAACAACAATAATTCACATTTACATAGCACTTACTAGATGCCAGGTACTGTGCTAAGGGCTTTGCAAATATTATCTCATTTGATCCTCACAACAACCCTGGGAGGTAGCTGTTATTGTTATTCCATTTTACAGTTGAGGAAGCTGAGGCAGAGAGAAATTAAGCAAATTGCCCAAAGTCACGCAGATAGTAAACATCTGAGGCTAGATTTGGACTCAGGTCTTCCTGACTGTAGACCCCACGCTCTATCTATCCACTTCTAAAAATGATTCAATTTCATCTGTAAAGTGAGCAAATTGGATTAGAGTATTTCTAAGAGCCTTTTCATCTCTAAATCCTAGGATCCAAAATTCAGGAGGGAAAGGAGTAACTCTCAAAACCTTGTGATCCCATTTGGCAACTAACTTTATCCTTCATAGGATGATTTGCCTGTTAATGAAATGAAACATTTTAGAATATTAATATCACTTATCATTTGTATATCCCTTTATAGTTTACAAAGTACTTTCATATTCATCAGCTCCTTTGATTCATTCATTCAATAAGCATTTATTAAGGTCCTACTGTGTGTCAGGAACTATACTGAGCATTGAGGGCACAAAGTCAAAACCAAAATAATCCTGACCTCAAGGAGCATACATTCTACTGGGGGAAACATCACCAACGAGTTAAGTAAATACAAAATATATTGAGGAAAAAGCATTTATTAAGTGCCTACTATATGCCAAGTACTTTACAAGTATCTAATTTGATCCTCATAGCAGCACTGTGAAATAGGTGCTATTATTATCTACATTTTACAAATGTGGAAATTAAGACAAACAGAAATTAAGGGACTTGCCCGGGGCCACACAGCTAGTTAAGTGTCTTAACAACTAGTTAAGTGGGATTTTTTCTCAGGTTTTTTTGACTCCATTTCTCTAATCCACTGCACCCTCTAGCCACCTCAAAATAAATTTCAAAAGAATCTTGTGTGTGTTGCTGGGTGGGTAGGACATTGAGCAAGAATAAGTGGGAAATCAAGGGAAGGCATCCTATAGAATGTAGCACTTATATTGAGCCTTGACCACATCTATTGTAGTAGGTGAAATGAGGAAGGAGGGCAGTCTGGCAAAAGAGGCCACCCTATAGAAAATAATGGATGTAGGAGATAGGGTGTCATATAGGGTAAACATTACTGGACCAGCTTAGCTCTAATATGAAGGGCATGAGGTAGAGTAATTGGAAGTTAGTCTAGAAAGGTTGGAGGACATAAAGTGCCCACCTAGTGAGTTTGTATTTTCTCCTAGTGGCAGTAAGGAACTATATCATCATAGCAATATTGTTTTAAGAAAAACTTCCAGCGACTAAGTCATTTGGACTATTATAAATACCCAAATTAACTCCAAAGACATATGAAGGAAGATGCTATCTGCATCCAGAGATGATAAATAGAAGTATATGTAAAATGATTTTACACACACATACACACATATATATATATATATACACACATAGATACATACATGTGTCTAATGGTAGCCATCTCTAGGGCAGAGGGAGGTAGAGAAGAAGAGGGAAAAACAAGAAATTTACATGATAACTTTATTATATATTTAAAAGGAATAGCAAGTTGTACATGATAGATTTGTAGTTTCATATGCAGTCGTATTTTAAAAAAATCTATCATATTATGGAAATGCTTGTTTTATTTCATAAATTAAAATAAAATAAAAACTTAAGGAACCATGGAAGCTTTTTAATCATTAGAGGAATGTGGCCAGACCTGAACTTTAGGAATATCAATTTGTTATTATGTGGAGGGTGATTTAATGGCAGGATAGCATACAGGAAGACTAATTAGAAGGCCATTGAAATAGTTCAGGTGAGAGATGATGAGAATCTACTAGGGGAAAGAGAACAAGACTTTATGTAACACCCACGATGTACCAGGCATTGTACTAAACGCTTTACAAATATTATCGTATTTGATCCTCCTAACAACTCTTCAAGGTAAGTGCTGTTATTATCCCCATTTTACAGATGAGGAATCTGAGGCAAATAGAAATTGAAAGACTTGCTCAGGGTCATACAACTAGCATATATCTGTTACTGGGGTAATAGATGTAGAGAAGGACAAAGGTATTTTTTATATATGAGGCAGATATATTTTATCTCTATTTCCCAAGAAGTAAACTGAGGTTCAGGAAGAAATGACTTATCCAAGATGGCAAATGGTGGAGCAGAGACTGAAGCCCAGGTTTCAGGCTGTTGGTCTCACTATCCCACATTGCCTTGTTGGAAGGTGCTGACCCTTTGAAGGTACTCTGTGTTTTATTCTGGCCATTAGCATACCAGTGAGAGCAGTGCTGCTGCAACAATCCATGAGGGTAGATGTGTATTCGAGTGTACCGCATTTTTAAGTGAGGGACTTCTAATGAAGGGCCCTGGGAGAATTAGGCTCAGTGAAAGATCGAATGCTAACTATGTTTAGGAGTGGCTCTGCTCTCTGGCAAGTGTCTGGGTTCCCCCTAACAGCAAGATTAAAAAGGTGACCGTCAAGTTTCAAGCATCATCATACTCATATGGTAGGGAGAAATTTTGTTGGAGATAGCTGCAAGATCATAGGATTCCTAGTGATTAGAACTTACTTAGTATTGTGTAATAATATGTAGTATTAAGTGTCTGAATGAACCCTCGGTGGAAGTCAGAATTGGGTGACCTCCAAGAAGCCAATGTTCAGCCTTTTTGATTCCTGAGTCCGCTGAATCACTTGTTGCTGTGTTGAGGGTGATTTTGGCGATGTTTGGTCTTCTGGAACAAGGGAAATTTTTCCTTTAAAAATTGGTGATGACTACCCTATTCCGAAAATAGCTTTAGAAGCTAAATGTCCTAGGAACATGATGGTAAATACTTTGGCATCCCTAGAAGTTCTCCCCTTGCCTCCCCTTCCCCCTCGCTTCTTCTCCCTCTTCCTTTTTTCTCCCTTTCGTCTTCTCTTTCTCTGTTTCTCTTCATCTCTCTATCTCTCTCTCCCTCCCTCCCTCATTCCCTGCTCTCATCTTCTCTTCCTTCTTCCTTCTCTTTTTCTCTCTCCCTCTTTTTATCCCTCTCTCTCCTGCACATTTTCATTAATCTGTTAAAACAAAAATTTTCCTGTGGAAAAAAATGACAAAAGGAAAAGCTCCTAATTATTCATGGGTCCCTATAATGTACAGCTCTGATGCTGCATGGCACTGTGAGCTTCGCTGGGGGGGAACGAATGGTTAGCTCTGTGTTGTCTTGGTTAGGAAATAAGAATTCCTCTGCTCGGTAGCGAGAGGGTAATTATGTCTGGAGACATTCTTGCACAACTGATTGCTTAGGCAACCCTTGCAATTACTATGGTTGGAAGCTTCATATGCATTAGAATGAGAGAAATTTTTTAAAGGAAAATTAGGAATGAATCAGACATCAGTTAGCATTGGGAGTACCAGTTAACAGCACTTGTATATGGTACTTTGTCAGTGGCTAGCAGGGTACTGATGAGTCTGGTTTAAATTCCTGCTCTGATGCTTTCTATCTCTGTGACCTTGGACAAGGCATTTAACCAGCTGGGCCTTGGTTTCCTCATCTGTAAAATTAGATTATATGACCTCTGAAGTCCTTTCTGTCTCTAGGTAAATATTCTTATGATACTGTGACACATGGAAGAAATGGTGTGAGAAAAGGTATGCGAGTAGAAAGGAGAACTTCCAAGGCTCCTGAGGGTATGTTATAGTGCCAGGATCCACTGGCTTAGAGTTGGGATGACTTGGGTTCCAATCCCTCTGCTGACATTTGCTGTTGTTTGTCCTTAGTTCTTGAAGAGGACCAATGACATCAGGAGGGTGATGCCTTGACCTTCAAGCGCATTGGATTTAAGTGAGATAGGGCTGTGCAAAGTCATCAGCCTCACTCTCTCCAGAGTCATCAGAGTCCAGTGGCAAGACATAGGTCAGGACGACTGGTAACGGCCTTGGATGCAGTGGGAGACCTTGGCCTTTTTAAGCTAAGATCTTTCCCAGGTGTGGTTTGAGGCAGCACCCATTCAGTAATTAAAGACTAGGTAAGAACTGAGGCAAAAGATGGTACAGTTTGCCATCGCAAGAAAATCATCCAGGAGGGGACTTAGCTTCTGGCCAGAACAGAAATGATTGCTATTTACATTTACTCTGAGCCATCAAAACCCAAACAGAGAGCAAGTGAGGCTTGAACTGGGACCTATTATTGGCCAATCAGTGAGAGCCAGAGTAATCTGGGCTTAAAGGCATAGTCAAGAAGCTCTATTTGAATCCCAATAAGCTTTATCAAAGCTCTATTTCAAGAAATCTTAAATGAAAAATACCTGAGACAAAAGAATTAATTGTTCTAGTTTTCTAGGGGAAAAAGATAGAATAAAGAATTAGGGAAGAAAACAATCTAGCCCCCAAATGTGAAGATACCTTGCAAAGTATGTGATCAAAATCTCTATTCCTTTGGACAGAGCACCCACATGTAAGGGTATGTTTCTCCACACGAACAGAGGGAGAAGAGGAGGAGAGAATTTGATATTTACTACCATGAGAAAGTGACCTAAATTTTTTAAGCCTAAGCTTCAGTTTCCTTACTATGAAATGAGGGTATTGATGCTTTTAGACCCTACTGTATAATAGCTTTCCTAAGGAACAAATGGTATAGTCTGTGTAAAGTAGGGAAAGGACTAGTGTTTGGATTTCATGCTCTAGGGATACCCCACCAATGCAGGTGAGCACCTTCTCTCCAGGCAGGCTTTGAACCTAGATCTTTCTGACCCTAAGGCCAACTTTCAATACATTATGCCTTATGTAA